CATGTTAATTTTTAATCACAAATTGTCAAATTTTAAGGTCCTGAAAATGTTTCTTTAATTGAAGCAAATGATTCCCAAAGGGGATTGATTTTCCAGGAGAAACAAAAAGCTGCAAGTCCCAAGCAATTTACTTGGGTTCTTCTTCTCAAAGCAAAAAGGCGGTGGCTTGTATTCCATGGCTTCTCAAATCACCACACATCGTCGCCGCTGTGGTGGAAGCTGTTGCAGAATTTCTCCGAGCACAAAAAATTTCAGACGGATCTTTGGCTCAGCTCAAAATAGTTGGTATGCAACTCTTTTCAGCAAAATCCACCGACATCACCGCACCCAACACCGTACGCCACTGTCGCCAGATCTGCCATCACCTACACCAACCGTCATCGCCGTTGCTTCACTCTACTGAAGTGATAACCAGGACCGGGACCACCACCACAACCACTATTTCCAACCAACGCACATTCACTGTTAACAAAAAACCATCAAAGCACCAACACATTACCCTCACCGCCACCGCCACATTCGCTACAGCCAAATCCACCGCCATCACCGCGCCCAACACCACACGTCGGCGATGGTTAGCGGTGGCAAAAAAGCTCGGAAGCTCGGACGGCTCGGGCTCGGCTTGGCTTGGAAAAAGCCCGAGCAGGGCCCTGCTCGGGCTCGGTGGAACCGACACCGAGCCCCACTTTGGGGAGTCGGCTCGGGCCGGCCCGGGCGAGCCTCCTATTAAAAAAAAAAAAAAAAAATTTTAAAGCAGCAAGCAAGCTGTATGATATCATTATTTTTTTTTTTGAAAACTCATTATTTTCAACTACACGTTTCGTGTGGCTCATAACTTTTGTCAACTTTTCAAAAAATTTGATTTTTAACTTTAAACAAAATAGGGGCTTAGTATGATATCAAAGAATTGGAAGATCTTGAATTTGAGCCTTTTTGTAAATCATTTGTAAATATTTTAACACCAAATATTTAACCACGCGGTATAATTACAAGAAAATTCGTCCATGGGCACATACAATAGATCAAATTTTAATTGGACCTACATGCAAAAAGGTGTTTATCTTAAACTCCACTTTCTAAGGTAATATTTAATATGACCCGCATGCAAAAAGTCCTTTATCATAAATATTACTTCTAGGATAAGAGAATTTTCAACAATTCTCATTATTTTAAAGAGCATTTTGAAGTATAATTAAAAATAGAGAGCATTTTTTTACAAGTCCAATA